CCTATGGATGAGGAAGAAGGGTTATTGAGCTCTGGATCAATTTGTTTATTGTCCTGAGATTTTCGGCTCTTGCGAGAGTCCATCGTCAGAGATAAAAGCGTCAACGAAAAACAAGCAACAGTTAGAGAGGACAGGAGCCAATCAACCGTTATAGGGGTGGGGAAGGGAATTCATTAATCACCAGTGTCGGCCGTGCGTGTATACCTGCGGAGGGCGATGCATGCGATACTTCGGTTAATTGCGTTTTCATCCAAGGCCCAGGCTTCAATTAGTTCTCGTCCTGTCTTGTTGCCGGCGTGAGCAATTATCCCCGCGGCCGCGAAACTCAGGACAATAAACAAATTGATCCGGTGCTCGACAAATCTTCTTCCTCCTTCGTGCAAATACCTGGAACGCGAATGTTTTCATTCTTTTGTCCTCTGATTGAGATCTTGAGCATTTTGTTGCAGGCAGTTAAACCGGTCTAGCTCTAGTTCATCCTCAAGAAAACCGTCCCTTGGAGACTGAAAACTGCTCGACGGCATTAAGAACTATCTCCGTAACCCAAATACGGGGACTAGATTTTCACTTTCCTCGCGTTTTTCGTCCAGTCTTCTAATAACGTTCAGGGTGGCTCTGTGTGCTGCAGTTTCGAACAGTCTGTGCAATCACTCTTATGATTTCACACCTCACCCATGTCCCATCTCTCACCTATTCCTCGTTCTGCTTAGGTTTTTGGTGTTTTATTTGTCTTTAGACCAGTGTTTGGAAGATCTGCTGAAACTTCTCTGGTTTTCTCTCTGTCTCTTTCTTTCCTTTTCCGGCTGTAAATCATTAAGACATTATGCTAGATGCTGAACTTGTCTTCTCCACATCCTCGTCATTACAACCTTACAAATAGCTCTCACTGCGGGTGGTTGCTAGGCGACTCAGACGCACTTGGTGCTATAAAAAGTGCTACCCATCGTTTTAATGAAAGGAAGCACGCAGTGTGGTTTGTTGCTGTTATCAGTCCATCAGTCAGTCCATAGAAGCATTTTTATGTGATTTTCGAAGAGCGTGTGCGTTAGGCGTAAAGTACTTTCATTTTGGGGTCATTAGCGCTAGTCCGTTTGAAGATAAAATGGTTATTCTACAAAATATTATGCTCTTTAACCCAGGGAATTATTGAATTTCGGGGTTAGTTCTGTAGACCTTAAATCTGCCCCAAGTTAAAAAATTAATTTTCGAGGAACTTTAAAAAAATTGCAATTAACCATTAAAATCTGCTTTCCGTACACTTGAATCATAGCCACCCTGTTAGTAATTCGCAAACTGGCTAGTCCGCCAACTTTCTACTATTCTTAGTGCTTTCACAGCAGATTCTACCACCTATGATCCTTTTTTATATTCGTACGCGTCAGAGCTGGGAGGGTCTTAAGGGTTCATGTCACCAGCGGCAACTTTGGTGTGTGGTCTTCAGCAACTGTGCATAAATGGCATTTACTGAAATTTGCTTTTTCGTCTGCTAAAACCGATAGCCATTGCAGCGACTGTAGAAATGGAACTCCCATCTGGCTTTCTGACCCCCGGTCGAAGAAGAGATAAGACTAAGGAATAGGGGCCGCGACACTACGTGTGGTTTTGCGCAATACTGCCGGAAGGGTACAAATTCGCTATCTTGATTGATTCCTATTTTTGGTTCTAGGGACTTAAACCTTGAGATCAACCATCGTACTGACATTTATTCCACGTCCGTCCTATGTGCAGCGAGTAGAAGCTCGCCTAAACCATGTTACGCGATCTTTTATTAGTGTAA